AGGACCCCGCGATTCGTGTGCCCTAGGACTTGGGCACTCCAGGGCTGGGATCCAGGCGCCCCAGGACTCGTGCGCTCCAGGGCCGGCACCCTGTGACCCAGGCGCTCCGGAACCCAAGCGCCGCAGGGCAGGGACCCACACGCATTGTTCCAGGACCGGCACCCCGTGACCCGGGTGCTTCAGGGCGGGGTCCCGCACGCGCTCCAGGGCCGGCACCCCGCGACCCGGGCGTCCCAGGACTCTCGTGTTCCATTGCCGGGGACCTGCACTTACTCCAGGGCAGGGACCCACGCGCGCTCCAGGGCCGGCATCCCGTGACCCGGACACTCCAGGATCTGCTCGCGCTCCAGGGCCGGCACCCCTTGCCCCAGGTGCCCCAGGGCGGGGGCCCACGCGCGTTCCAGGGCCGGCGCCCGCGCCCATGAGAGCCGGCGGCATGCGGCTCAAGGAGCGCTCGCTGCGCCAGGACCCCGACCTGCGCCAGGAGCTGGCCCTGCTGGCTCGCGGCTGTGACTTCGTGCTGCCCTCCCGCTTCAAGAAGCGGCTCAAGGCCTTCCAGCAGGTCCAGGTGCGCCACGCCAGCTGACCTAGCGGGCTGTCCATCTGTCTGTCTGCCTGCCGTCCTTGTGGGTCCCCCACCCCCAGCCAGAACCCCTCCCCGTGTGCCGCCTGCGTGCTCCGGCCAGGAAAGTTTGTGACACAGCCCTGGGCAGTTAGATCCGGGCTCTGCCCCGTGTCACCCCGCAGACAGAACCCCAGGTTCCCTCTTTAACAAGGACAGACCCACCCGTGTGCGTCTGTGCCGTGTGGGTGTGAGAGCACTGGGGCCGGTATGCATAACGGGAGCTGCCGGCTGTGGGAGGACCCCGTGTTTGCCTCCCGGTGAGCTGTGTGTATGTCCATGTGCTCTCTCCGGGAAAGTTTGTTAAAGGGCTGTGTGGACTTGGGGATGCTGCACCTCCTGTGGCCAGAACCCCAGCTGCCAGCCTTCACCTGAGGTTCCTGGGAGAGAGACAGGGAGAAGGAGAGAGAAGCAGAGAGAGAAAGAGAAGGAGAGAGAGAGAGTGTGTGTGTGTGTGTGTGTGTGTGTATGTGTACACTCTTGTTTTCCCTGGCAGCTGCTGAGTTTAACAGGAGGTTCCTCTGACTGTGTTCTCTCTTCTCCCCCTGCGTCCCCCAGATCTACAGCCCCAGCTGCCAGCTTTAACCTGGGGTTCCTGGGAGTGTGTGAGAGTGTGTGTGTGTGTGTGTGTGTGTGTGTGTGTGTGAGAGAGAGAGCGAGCGCGAGCCAGCTCGTGCAGCCGCCCTGCATGGAGGCCGTGGGGGGGGGTGTCCAGGGCCCGGTGCTGTGGAATTTACTGAGGTTGACGGTGGGGCCTCTCTTCTGTGGAGAGAGGGGACCCGCCCGAGAGCCGGTTGGTGTGTCTCGGAGCTGCGCCGGCCTGGCCTGAGCCCCCATCTGGGCTGGACGCTGGTCATCTAGGCAGAACATGTACAGCCTTGAGCTTGTCATTGTGTCTGTCTGCCTGCCTGCCCTGTGTGGACTCCTGTCTGTCCCATGTAGGTTTGTTCGAAGTGTGTTATGTGCATGTCTATCTTTCCCCCCTACAGATGTGTCTCATGGTTGGCTGGTGTGTGTGTGTGTGTGTGTGTGTGTGTGTGTGTGTGTGTGTGTGTGTGTGTGTGTGTGTGTGTGTGGTCTGTCTGTCTGTCTCACGTAGCCCGTAGCCGGTTAAGTGTGTGGTCACTCCCTGTGGCCGGTGTCCCTGTTGTCTTCTTAGCGTTTGGGCCCCCACAGGCCGTAAGTGCCCTTCCTCGTCCCTGGTTGGTTGGGATTCCAGTCGAGTTACGGGGCGTTCTCCTGGGCGTCCTCTGTGAGGGCAGTGCCGGTGAGGCGTGAGAATCCAGCCCCAGGTCAGAGGGTCAGGGATTGGAACGCCCAGCAAGAGAAAGATTGGTTCTCTCAAGATGGGCTGGCTCAGGGGTACAGTAGAGTATCCCCCAAGTCGGAACTGCCCCGAGGGCAGCAGTGGGGTGTTCTGTCCACAGGGCCAGAGCCCCAGGGGTCCTGCTGTTGAAGCTTTCATGTGCCCAGTGCAGGGGGGGGGGTGTTTGCACTCACAGTCCAGGGCGGAAAGAGGACGACATGTGGATGGGGCGGAGGTGGGGGGTAGTGCAGACGGAGGGTACCCGGATATTTACCTGCACACAGCACCCCCTCCCCTCAGCCCTGCAAGTCAGAGCCCCTCTTCCACCCCTCCCTGCACAGGCACCACAGCCCCTGCTCCCGACCCCTCCCTGCACACAGAGCCCCCTCTCCTCAGCCCTGCAGGTCGGAGCCCCTCCTCCACCCCTCTCTGCACACGGCACCCCCTCCCCTCAGCCCTGCAGGTCATTGCCCCCTCCTCCCCGCTCCTCCTGCTGGCCAGCCCAGCACCGCCCTGTGTTCTCACCCCGGTTTCCTGGCGTCTGCTGTCTCCATGTCCACCCCGTCGTCCTCCTCATGGCCCCAGAAACCATCACCCTCCGTGGCTCACACACAGGCCTCCTGTCCCTGTTCTGGTCCCTACCTCTAGGGCCTGACATCACATCAGGTGTCCACACTCAGGGCTCACTGTGGTGGGGGATCCTCTCCTGCCTGCCAGGGACCCCACACTCTGTATCTCAGTACCTGCCCCATGGCTTGAGGAAAGGGGTTCGCCTGGCACACGCCCTCAGATCACGCCCCCTGAGTACGTGGATCCCTCCACTCTCTGCAGCCCAGGTTGGGGGGGGGGGAGCACGGAGCAGGCATCAGGTACTCTCTTGGAGAATTTCCTGAACTGTTCTGATTGTGCCTCACGGAGACCCCAGGCTGGGGCCACCTGGCCCAGGGCTGCCCTAGGCCTGCCTCCCACCAGGCCTCAGGGTGCCTTCGAACCGGAAAACAGCCCAGCACTTAGCTCCCGGTGCCACCAGGGCTATGACAGGCACCTCACCCCTCGTAGCCCAGTCCCTCACTGTCCACATGTGAGGGAGGGACAGCCCCCTAGGTCACCTCTACAGGTGACCATCACACCTTCCTCCTCACTCCTCACAGCTATGCCCCTCACTGTCTGCATGCAGACACGCAGGGACCCCGTGTAGCCCCCTAGGGTCACCTCTAGAGCTGCCCACCAGGCCTGCCTCCTGCCAGGCCAACGGGTGGATTTGAACTGCCTACCCTTCTGCTAGTGGTGCAGACATCTGTGACTGGGGCTCCTGGGACATTTCCCCGCCGCTCCAGCCACCGGGGAGCTCGGGTCCTCGCAGAAAGAGTCCATCTTTGTGGTCACCGGAGCGGGTTGCTAAGTACTGGCCAGTGAGAGAGGCTAGAGGGTGCATCCGAGGAGGAAGGGTGCTGGACGGAGCTGCCCGTGGAAGGAAGGATCCCTGCGTGTGGTTTGCATGGCAAACCCTCCAGCATCTACTGGACAGGCGTCATGTCCTGTCACCTGACTACCCCTAGACTGTCCACTTGGGTGGTGTGGCCGGGCTCTTAGGGAAGGAGGCGGGATTGCAGGTAGGAACTGAAGTGACCGCGACACCCTGTGTGTGTGTGCACTCTGACCATTGTGGGTCCTGGACTCCCACACAAGCTGACTGACCACTTTGGGCCCTGGGTCTCCACACGAGCTGACCACTGTGGAGCCTAGGCCCCCACTCCAGCTGACCACCGCAGGTCCTGGGCCCACAAAAACTGACCACCGTGGGTCCTGGGTCCCCACACAAGCTGAGTGTCAGGGATCCTGGCCTTTCTGTTTCCCTCCAGTCTGGCCGACAGGCGGTCCACAAAGCTTCCTGCAGGGTCCCAGGGCTGGTCCTGCCCGGCCGTCCTCGCCACCTGGCTGGGAGGTGACAGGAATGGGGACTGGACAGCTGTCAGGCAGCCATGTCTATTTCTGTCTCTGGTCACACGCGCCCAGCTCCCGTGTCCCTGCGGCTGGCTTTGTTTGGGGTTGTTTGGGCTGCCTTGTGGGCAGTTACTGGGGACTGGGCAGCTGTGTGTGTGTGTGTGTCCGTGTGTCCCATGTCCCCTCCACATGTCTGTCTCCCAGCCCTGCTGAGTGTGTGTGTCCACATGGTGGCCATGTTTGCTGTGGTCACTTCTGAGAGGCCGGACCTTGCACACCTGTGGAGGGGGGATCAGCTTTGCACACACAGGGTGGCTGTGGAGGGGTGACTAGATGGCGACCATGTTTGCTGTGTTAGTGGGATGACCACTGTGGTCAGTGAAGGTGGACACGGCGCCCCGGGGCTCTACTCAGGCCCTGGGATGTTTTTGATGGTGATGACCATGTTCATCATGTTGGGAGTTTTGGTGACGTGTCCTGTGCGGAGAGTGGTCAGTGAGAATTTACCCCCAGTTGGGAGAAGAGAATGGCCAGTGTCCTCATGAGCTTTGAGCCGGGTCTTACTGGACAGCAGTGAGGGCTCAGCTTTGGATGCAGAGTGTAGCAACCTCTTTCCACTTCCTCCCTGTCAGCCTCGGCTCCTCATCCGTCCTTCTCACCCTTCCGGCCGTCTGGACTTTATCCCTGGGCCCACGCCGCCCTCTTGACCTGGCACTGCTGGTCACTCTAAGGGGTGAGCATCTGCCCTGAGCTGCTGTGCCGTTTCTAGGCCGGGCAGTTGTTTGGATAAAGGTTCAACAACAGTGTGAGTTTAGACATTAGATTAGGGGCATTAGACGATCAGACATTCCCTGGAGATCCCTCGTTTGCCTGAGACTTCTGGGGGGTCCAGGGGCTTCCCAGCACAGGGACCCTAGTGCAGAAAGACACCCCGAATCCTGGAGGTGATTTCTTGCTGGAGCTAAGCCCCACCCCCACCCGGACCTGTTATCTCTTGTGAAATAATGGGAATCACAGGCCACTTCCTAGGGAGGCCTCCTCCCATCAGATCAGGGCTGGGCTGGATGGAGGGCTGGGATGGGTGGACAGCTGGGCTGGAAGGTGGGAAAGCCTGGGCTGGAGGGCCAGTGTATCCCACCATTGACCCTCCCACGTAGCTGTTGACCCGATCGTGGCCTCCGCTCACCATTCCATCACCACCTACGTGCCATCATTGAGGAAGACCCTCAAGTAGGTAGATGGACGTGGGGTCAGCAGCCATGGGCTCAAGTGTGACAGAGACGGCGTGGATGACACAGGCCAGGACGGGTTCAGCTCTGTTGTCCACAGGACCGCTGTGAGCCGTGCTCGACTGGACGGCACCTAACAGCAGCAACAGCGTACATTGTGGGGCACAGTGCCGTCTGGGAGAGGAGTCTTATCACCGGCACTGACCGTCCACTTCTCCACCATGGTGACCGGTCTTTCCCAGTGGGGTGTCCGGAGCACGCTGCTGGACGCAGGGGCCCCTGCAGGTGTTGTCCTGCTGTAGACGCTAACTCAGCTTTGTCCAGTGTCCAGGCGTCCACACTGCGTCTGTGCTGTCCAGGGTCAGGACAGGGGACTGTACGTGTTCACTCCCAGACTGTAGATGCTGTCCACACACGGGCGGTCATGGGAGCCGACCCCAGCTGACCGTCTCATCCTCCTGCAGGTCCAGACCAAGAAGGAAGAGCCGCTGCCCCCTGCGTCCAGCCAAAGCATTCCAGCATTCTACTTTCCCCGGGGCCGCCCGCAGGGCTCCAGCCATGTGGACGCTGTCATCTCCCGCATCGAGGCCACCTTCGCCCAGTTCCCGCAGGAGAGGGCCACGCTGGACGACATGGGCCGGGTGGCCAAGGTTGGGCCTGCTGGGTGTGGGGTGGACCCTGGGGCATGTGAGTGTGTGCACTAGGGCGACTGGCTTGCAGACACAGGCCTGGATAGGATGTGCTTGTGGCGTGACCACTACTGAGGACTCAGGTGGACATCAGTGATGGACGCTGGTGTGTGTGAATGTATCCTCTTGTGGCCTGTCCGCTGCTGAGGACACACAGCTGGACGTCGGTGGTGGACGCTGGGGTGTGTGAATGTGTGTATCCACTCAGGCAGTCACCGTGGGGACACAGACTCTCACAGAAAGACATGATGTGCTCGTGGTGTGTCCACTGCTGAAGACACGCTGGGCGTCTGTGGTGGACTCTAGTGTGTGTGTACCCACCTGGACGGCCATCGTAGGGAAATGGTGCTCGTGGTGTGTCCACTGTCTGCCAGACTTCTTACCCTGAGCACCATAGGACACAGAGGCCGGGAGGGAGAGGGTCCAGGTGGGAGGCTGAGTGGAAAGGAGAGTCACAGGGAGGGAGCTGGTAGAGTGCGGACCGGTCGTGCATTTGCCCGTGAGGGTCGCAGCACACAGTGTCCATCAGCTGTTGATGGGAACCCGGTCTGTTCTGAGGGCGTTCACTCCAGGTGCAGTGAACTCAAATGCCAGGCCAGCTTTCCAGAACAAACAACTGGCCCAAAGTCAGGCATCGGCAGACACTCATTCGTGAATAACGCATGTTGTCAGGTGACACATCTGTGGGTAAAATAACAAGAGTCACAGAAAAGTATTGTCAGTAAAAATGCCCTCAAAAATACGTCAATTAGCTTTAAAAAGTGAGGTGAAAATGGAAGTATAATATGAGAGGTGTGTTCCTCTGCCCCGGTCCCTGTGGAAGCAGGACCCAGGGCTGGAGGCCTGATTTTCGATGGCAGGGTCAGTGCCGTTCCTCTGTGCACTGGCCTCACACTGACCTCTGAGGCAGGACTCCCTTGTGTCTGATGGCCCTCTGCTGTTTCTGCACGCAGTGACCCTGAGCTGGTCAGTGAGGTGGGGGAGAGGTGGGCGCTGAGCTGATCAGTGAGGGCGCGGAGAGGTGGGCGCTGAGCTGGTCAGTGACGTGGGGGAGAGGTGGGCACTGACCCCTGTGTCCTCTGCCGATCCCTTGCAGGCCTGTGGCTGCCCGCTGTACTGGAAGGGTCCACTCTTCTACGGCGCTGGGGGCGAGCGCAGGGGCTCCGTGTCTGTCCACAAGGTCATCGCCATGTGGAGGAAGTCAGTCCTGGGCTCC